CTTTTTTCTACGAGATATTAACTATCCCATATTATGTAAGCCGACATTAGTATTTTTATGTTATCGTTGAGGTTTCCATTTCAAATATTTTATTCTTTTCTTAATTAAAGTATTCCCCTCTCAGCAGTGGATTTCAGTGGCACAAATTATTAGCAAAGGAAGCCAATACTTGATTGTACACCGTTTAATGCACTTTAGCGAAACAAATTGTTTTGGCTGTAACTGTTGAAGACGATACCATTCGAGAGAAATAAAGCATTATACTTTTAGTTTTATCTTTGGGCGTAGCCTTTACCACGTATATTCATACACATTGCCGTTCTATTATGATGATCAAGCTAAAAACAAGTATGTACTGTGATATTCATGATATACATTGTAAAAGGTATTAACTATCTCATGTGTGGTGGGCATTGATATTATCATGTTTTCGTTGAGATTTTCACTTGTTGGAGGATTATTTTCTTGAATTGTAATCCATCGTATATGGAGTTTTCTCCTTTCAGCGTGTCATCAGTTTTACAAGCTATGACTCCCAACAAGAAAATCGGTTTACAGCACCGCAAAAAAAAAGCCCTCCCCCCCAAAAGTCAACCTAAAACCCCTACAGCGCATATTTCATATCGTCTGGTATCATGTTGGTCAGTAATTTCATATCGTCTGGTATTATGTTGGTCGATTCAATGGCTCTTGTGCTCCCATTGTATAATAAGCCACAATTAAGACCTTGTAGTAAGTTATACTCGAGAAAACTGTAACCCAATATACTCTTTCGTAGGAGGGGGGTCGTTGGTTTTATTGAATATATGGTTTCTAATAACTATTAAATAACATTTGCTAATTTAGAACCGTAAAAATGATCGAATAAATCTGATTACCAAAATACTAGGTTTGCTTTAAATATCAATCAAACCTTGTCCAAGGTATTCCGTGCCATAGCCTGTTACTTAGGGTGATCCACAATGAGTGAATTTTGGGAAAGGAAAACCTACCTCATAAAGAATAACAACTCCATATCTTGAAACGCGATATTTGATGATCAGTTATCTGAAGGCGACGCCTTCGACATGTAAATAAAGTGAGAAAAATCGACTGTTGGATTGTTCAGGCGTTCATAACTACTATACGATCTAAATTAATACCAGCATTTAATTATAAGCAGGGCAACACGAGGTCGACCCTGATGGCCAAATTATTTGAAGAGAAAGAATAGATCCAACATTGTTCTCCTTTTTTACGGTAATATTTATGACATGGGTTTTGCCTGGTGAAAAAATACACTCACCGTTCGATTGAACGCAAAGTGATTGAAAATACTTCATGACCATCTAGAAAAGTAGAAATTGACAATATGGCCATGAATACTTCGCGTGTAATTTTGATAAGATGGAGCAAAAAAATTGCGTCCAGTAAATCTGATTATTCGAATTCACTATTTTGAAATTTCGTCCTGGACGGGAATACTGCTGTTTTTCCTTGAAACAAACAATCCATGAGAAGGAACATGATTTTGTGTTTGATATGTTTTCGTGTCGGTCTGTATCTATCATGAATATTTGATACTAAATTCCCGATGAGGTCGATCTTTCAAACGGGTTGTTTATAAAACCCAGTCTGTCCTGTTATACCCGAGGTTTTCCAGGGCAATTGCACCGCAATTTTTAATTTGTGCATCATGAAATTGTCGGAGCACACTACGATTCATATCCAATTTAGCCTATTGAGAACGTCGAATTTGTGCGGACTCTCTTTTATGATACTGGCTCACTAGGTAGTTTGAAGATTATACAATCAGAACTGTATGCTGGCAGACAAGAAAGTATACATTTTCGAGAACAGAAATTGATAAATAAATCGAGAAAAACAAAAAACAAAACCAAATAAAAGGAAAAGACAATAGAACGGAAGATAACTAATGATACCTTTGCAAATATTGTGAACTTGTATGCCATATTGAGTGTTTATTAGACCAAATTTACACCTTTGATAAGGCAGATATTTAATTCAACTCTGAACATGTCATCACCAGGGAGGCACCAAACGAAACATATAATAAGCCAAAAATTGTAGATGGGACTTGAACTGACTAAAAAACCGCTACCTGAAAAAATCAATAAGTGAACCTATTATATTACAATGTATAATAAGGATTACATCAATCTGAATTAATTCACAGACTCGTACACTCTACGCTCACATGTGTACCACTTCGCAGGCAGTTGCAACATCAAATACACTCACATCGATCACAAATACACAGAATTAAACCGCCGTCAACTAGTGTGTGGAAGTACTGAAAGCAACACAACCATTCATAACACCACAATTCAACACTGTACTTTTCACCGATACTTGCACACATGATTGGTTTGTATATGACGAATACGCTTATTCACTTTAATATATTCTAAAAAATCATATAGATATTCGACCATTCAAAAAGCGAATATGGTGTATTATAAATATTGAAGAAATTGTCTGAACGTGCATCAGATAAGAAGGCGCAGTACAGAGTGTATTGCCGTGGGGCAAATAGCAGCTATCACATTCAATCAGCTTCGTGCCAGTATCAGAGAGAAGGCGAAAGAAAAAACTTGAAGGACATAGAATGAGGGCCCGTGCTTAAAAACGGGTTATCGAATACCCTGAGAAAGCTGTGGTCGTTTTCCTTTTATATCTCACAGGAACACACAAATGAATATTCGATGGTGGAAAATCGTCATATATTCGGATACAATTACAAAACGTGTATATGTAGCAAACTTGATACGTCCGGTCAACGATCCAAACATTATTTTTAGCACTAGGAGTAGGGAGTCTGTAGAGTATCGACAACAAACCCACATATTCAACTTTTTCTTGTCGGCAAAAGCTACAAACGAGATACCAATGCGTATCGAGCTGATGTTTAAGTGCCAAATACATCCTTGAATTGTTTAACGTCTCAACCCACCATTTGAGTTGACAATATTAAGTCTAAATATGTAATGTATGGGATGTTTCCGAAATAAAAACATAATTGTGTTTTTCACGTGGGTCGTACGAGAACCGAACCACATTTTACGAGGATTAGATTGAGTGCAAAACAATGTTGGCGATGTTTATAATCAGCAGACTACTTGGATGCGCTTAGATGCCTAATTCACACAGGTTAATAACGTAGATAATAATTTTGATAATCATCGGGTCGTTTCTGACATTCTTGGAATTCGCAACACCTTTACCTCTATAATTGTATAGTCCTGGACCCCAATTCGAATTTTTCATATATGCCCTGTACTCGAGTTGATAGAGAGTGAGCACAGTATCTTGATCTTGATCTATATATTTATTAGTTGAAATCGTTCGAGACTATAATTGGTAAGCAACTTTCTTTCCACCATCGTACTTTCCCCATAATCCATGTGTGCCCTGTACTGGAATCAAAAGTGAGCACAAATTATTTTCCGAGTAGATGTATTTAATAATTAGAGTCGTTGGTGACTCCAAGTAGTATGCAGCATTCTTTCCATACCGCAACCTTAGCCTACCTTCATCATTTCCAGGCGCAGCATATTCACGAGTTGACACAGGTACAGTGATTCCCTTACCTTCATATCTATAATATCTAACTCATTTGGTTTCATTCTACACTTATCCGCACAAAGGTATTCCTAAAACATCTAAAAGGCATCTGGACCTTTCGGATAGCTTACAACAGTATGTCTGACCGTCACGAACGGTCATGGTCTCGTCGTGCGTTATTTGAATTCCCGCTCTCACACCAGGTGGTACCTCCAGCTGTACATGATCGCTAGATCGTTACATACATACTTTCTGGTATGGAAGGATACTATCAAGCATATAGTGCACAGATTTCTTCCTATATTCAAATAATTTCTCACGCTCACGTCCATCTATGTACGTGTTCTTTGTATTCTTCTTGAATGTGCTGTATTAAAGTATATATGTGATATGATCTCGTCGTATCTATTTGTTAGCACTGATTCATGCTGTTGAAATTGTCCACCCATGTATGTGCGTTCACTATGAGGGAATTGCTTTTGCATCTCTGTCTTGCAAATATAAGCATCTACCCAGCCTGATATGATTAGATTCTCCAGCTTACTTTGAGCCGTATGGGTTCCTTATAATTTGGTAGGAAGAATGCCAAATTGAATCTAACGATTAAAATCCATGCGAAAGCCTCCGCTCGATACTTTAAGTCCAAACCCCCTCCACCTCATTGCAATCGTCGTGCACTGCCTCTTCTACGTTCAATGAGAATTGCTCTCGCCCAATGTTACCTCCTCGATAGTGCAACCATTGCACCTGCATTTCACGAATTACATTTTCATACACAATATACGATTCCTTTCTTTGTGGCCTATTGTATATCTGAGTAGCATGCGTTTGTACAGTCTTATTGTCATTCCAATCATTGTTGTGCTTGCTTTTGCATAACATCTTCTACACTCCTGCGTCTCATCCAAATATTCAATGCTGCGTCAAATTCATCAAATCGTTCCTCACTAACCATTTTTGCTTTCATCTTGTAAGCCTTCTTCGGTGTACGAGATAATCTTATCTACTTTCTCAATACTGTCTCGCCCTCTATTGAACTATATACTACTACGAACTCACTCCTGTCCATTATTCATGTTATGAAATTATCGGTGAGTTTGTATCCGAACCACATTCGCATATTCCGCTGCCGACCGACCAGTAAGTACACATGCATGTACAATCTCTTGCTTGCTATCGCATATGTACATATATTCCGCAATGAATCTGTTTCAACTATCTGTCGTACAGTACTACTCATTGCAGAAACACTGAATCTTACTACAGACGATGCACTTGACATCACAAACAAACATACTTAAGCTTATCGTTCATTTCTCTGCGCGCTTCAAATTCAACTTGTCTTTCCTTATTCTACGTTGCAAGCCTTTGTAATACGCACAGTACTTTTTGTTGCCGGTACATCACGTTTACGATTACCCTTTTACTCCACTTTATTCTCTTCAGAGTCACTTGATTCCTGTTTCTTATCTCCAATAATTTGGCTACCCGTTGCACACTTGCGTGTACGACCAAAGCGTCTATTTGAGTTCGAGGGTCTACTCGGTTCTAATAAATCGTCTGATTCGCTTTCTGTGCTTGTTGCATCAACATATTCTTCATCTACATCGACGCAAACACGTTTCGCTACGAACCTTTCCCTTGCATCCCTTGCCTTAATGCGTACTACTAGCTTAAATTCTGTCTCAGTTCTGACACGGTTTCGAAGTTGAGACATGATGAATGTTTCAAAACTGGCCCTTGAAGTGACGCTGCATGTACGTGTGAATATATAAGTATGTGGTGCGCACATTGGGGCTTTGTGAGTGAGACGAAGTCTTAAAAGCCGAAAGCGGCTTAATATACCGCATACAAGTATGTATGAGAGTACATCGGAACACTCAGCATTTTGCCGGAAGATCTTTTAAATCTCTTTTGGTTTCGTGTGAGAGATAAGTCAAAGCCGAAAGCGGCGTTGTATACTGCGCCTTCAGACTTGACCCCTTTCAGATTGAAGTTCTGGATAGCTCTTAGAATTTGAAGTGTACCCATCAAATTTTAGAAAATTATGCAGGCTAGACCAAAAGTGATATTTGATTATCGAACGGAAGACCCTAGTTCTCGATTGTGAGCACCATATAACGATATAAATGCTCACTCATATACCAAGTTTTATATAATTTTTGTCTTCTAACACTTATCAATCACCTCTGTCACTATCTCGTCCAGAGGAAATTGTGTAAACAGTGAGGTGTATAGAGGAATTCGATGAGTAATACTCCATTGCATAGCTACACTTGTATTTGAATCCGGGGCGTATTCGATATGTACAAATTTATTATTTTGATTCATCGCTTTGAAGACATAGCTTCAAGCGCTAATTGACGAGACCGAGCTTCAATCTCACCCAACATCTGCGCCGCCGTTTTGCCTACAGGATCGTAGCTTGTCTTCGACTTGTCCACTGTAATCAAAGAACATATGAAATGATACGAACATAGATTAGTGAAAGCTAAGCCACCAACAATCATAGCGCACTGTCACCCGATTACCAGAATGTCGTGAGTGTGCAAATGAATGCAAACTCATAGTTAAACTACGATTGAAGCACACTGTTCAATCGTCTACAAGGCCGATGAACATCCAAGTACATATCCCTCATTGCTCATATCAGGAAAGTACTGTACACAGTAGCAGTATACATTCGAGCACAGACGTGTTTGTACATACTCCATGTAAGCTGGATCCCGGGTGAGCCACCCTTCGGCAAGATGTCTGTTTTGATCTGTATTTTATCATTCGTCTTCAGTAACCTTCCAGATGTCAAGACGCGCAGGAATTCTCTCGTAGATGTGCAATTCGTGCTGAACGGCGAAAATTGAACGTCCACCTAACGCATGTATGTAAATACGAGTCAAGTACTTAATTAAAATATAGATGATCATACCAACACAAGCCGAGTACAATAGATATCAACAATGGGGTCATCACCTACTATTATGTTGGCGACTGCGCAATTAAAGATATGTAGATTACGTGTGACCTTTTTTCCAGTCCATTGGTCACCTAAATATGGAACGAGAATGCGGGGATGCACTCATGACACGATAGGGTTGTCAAAGCTCAATATAACATTTCATCGCAATCGAGCACAGACCTATAGTTACAGACAAATTAAGTATCATGACCAGCGCAGCTATTACATATCATCTAGAAAGTGCAAATGAATAGCAGTGACACGTTGAAATCAAACTGGAAAGGTAGTAACAGGAAACACAGTACAAACTCAAACTACAGAAACGAAGACATTCGGCAACTTGTCTGATATAAAATGCAATACACGAATGAGTATATAACTACCTAACTGGTTAACCGATACAAATGAGAAGCCCACTCCACAATTTACTTCTGCGCTACATTTCGCTACATTTATGTACGAGCACTATTTACACACACACAGACATGTGGTGATCCATGAGGGCCCCTTTTCCTCTACACATAAGTAACTCGCATGAAAATAAGCACTAATTTACCGGCATTTCAAATATATATATACACACTATAACACATGGCAACTACCATTTTGTTCAAGTTGCCAAAAAACGTCAATCAGAGATTTTAAACAAATAGCATACATCCATACACGCTAAAACCATACGCATAAAATATGCGCAGGCAAGTACGATATTGGACACAACGGGACAATTACAGTATGCACAACAGCAAGAAGAAACACAAGCTTAAAACGTAAAATGTTGGCATAATTTAAATTGAAAACGACGAGTACTCAAGATAAATCGGAACGTGTGCATATCCCTATTAGTGTTTATATTTACACACACACATACACACACACATATATATATATACATACACACACACAAACACACATACATACACACACACATATATATAAGTATATACACATATATAAATATACATACATACATGTATACATATACACATACACACACACACACATATATATATATATATATTATACATTTACATCAAGAAAAATAGATACATACATACAAACATACACACACACACATATATATATACATATACATATACGTATATATATATATATAAATATATACAGACACACACAGACACACACGCATATATATATATATATATAAGCTTACAAAATATATACAAACAAACCATAAATACATTCATACATGCACACTCGCACAAACTTACACACCACATATATAGGTATATATATATATGTATCATATATATATATATATATATAATAATGCAATTGTATAAAAATTTGCAGTACATAAAAAATCATCGATATATACACACATCCAAACATTCACACTGTCTATCCAGGATTTATATAATACACTAGATATATTCATGCTATGTTCTCTAATTACTAAGTAATATACATCACATCAATTATGGGAACTCATACGTACATAAACACACATATATATAAATATAAATATTTAGATATACGTACCTATGCGTATGTGTACACAAATACACACACACACTCATATATATATATATATATATATATATGTATATATATATATATAATATACATGCATACATAAACATATACAAACCTACACACATATATATATAAATATATAATATATGTATACATACACACATACATACATACATTATATATATATATATATATATATACGCACACACACACACACACACATACACACACACACACACATATATATATACAGATACATTTAAATACATACATACATACATACACACACACATATATATATATAATACATATATGCATACATACATACATACATACATATATATAAATATATAAATATATATATACATTAATATATCCAAATATCCATACATACATACGTACACACACGCCTCTGGGGGGTTCCTTTCCCCCCTTTAGGGGGTCTACACCTCAGAACAGACAAGCAATACCAACTCTCTACAGATATGTACACAATATATAGATGTCTTAGGTAGCACAAAAAGGCACACACACACACGCACAGACACACATAAATATATATATATATAAATATCCAAATAGTTAAATATTCATACATACATACGTACACACACACACACACACACACACACATACATATATAGATCAATCTATGTATCCATACAGACATACGGACACAGACACAGACACAGATACAGACACACAAATATACATATATCAACCTAAATATCATACATACATACGCACACACACAGACACAGACACAGACACAGACACATACAAATGTGTACACACACACACGCTACACACACATACGTTCATGTAAAAACACAACACACACATGTGCACACACACACACGTCTATACATACAAACGTGCATGTACAAACACACACACACACATCACACACACATATGTGTACACACACACATGTGTACACACACACATACACACACACACGTCTACACACCCATCCGTGTATGTACAAACACACACAAACACGCACACACGCACACACGCACACACACACACACACAAATATCATGCATAGTTATAGCACCATAATACCACACACATTATAGTGTTATGCCATACCTTAGTCAGGAAACGCAATGAAAGACCTTTTCCAGCCATTGTGTGCGCGTGTGGGTGTTTAACTTAAGTTAGGTTTGCGTACTAATCACTAATCAGCCTCCCTTGTGAGTTGACACTATAATGTAAATATAGAAAACGCGGGATGAACACACTTTTTGGAGTCCCGAAAATCTCAAAAAAGTCCTTTTTGCGATTTTTAATTTTAATTTTTGTATATCAGAGAATCAAATTTACAAGTTTGAGCTGATCACACAGTGAGCATACCCTCTCTCAATATAGCCTATGCACTACACAATTAGAAACACTTGCGGTGAACAATAGATGGACCGGCCTCATCATATTCCTCTTTGGAGATCCACATCTGCTGGAACGTGGAAAGCGACGCCAAGATGGAGCCACCAATCCAAACCGAATACTTGCGCTCTGGGGGTGCGATGATTTTGATCTTCATAGTGGAAGGTGCCATTGCGGTTAACTCCTTCTGCATACGATCTGCAATACCTGGGAACATGGTAGTTCCTCCGGAGAGCACCGTGTTGGCGTATAGATCCTTACGAATATCAACGTCACACTTCATGATAGAATTGTAGGTGGTCTCGTGGATACCACGGGATTCCATACCCAAGAATGAGGGCTGGAAAAGTGCCTCAGGGCAACGGAAACGCTCGTTACCAATGGTTATAACCTGTCCATCAGGTAATTCGTAGCTTTTTTCTAAAGTCGATGATGAAGCTGCGGTCTGCATCTCCTGTTCGAAGTCAAGAGCAACATAAGAGAGCTTCTCCTTTATGTCACGCACAATTTCACGCTCAGCGGTAGTGGTGAAGGAGTATCCTCGCTCCGTAAGGATCTTCATCATGTGGTCAGTAAGATCACGTCCAGCGAGATCTAGACGTAGGATAGCGTGGGGTAGGGCAAAGCCCTCGTATATTGGAACGGTGTGAGATACACCATCGCCAGAGTCTAGCACGATACCGGTGGTTCGTCCAGATGCGTACAGAGAAAGTACAGCCTGGATGGCCACATACATGGCGGGAGTGTTGAAGGTCTCGAACATGATTTGAGTCATCTTCTCTCTGTTGGCCTTGGGGTTCATGGGAGCCTCAGTAAGGAGAACAGGGTGCTCCTCGGGGGCGACACGCAGCTCATTATAAAAGGTGTGGTGCCAGATCTTCTCCATATCGTCCCAGTTGGTCACAATACCATGCTCAATAGGGTACTTTAGAGTGAGGATACCTCTCTTAGACTGAGCCTCATCACCTACGTATGTGTCTTTCTGTCCCATACCTACCATGATTCCTTGGTGACGAGGTCGACCAACAATGGAAGGGAATACAGCACGGGGGGCATCATCTCCAGCAAATCCGGCCTTACACATACCGGATCCATTGTCCACCACCAAGGCTGCTAGTTCGTCGTCACACATGATTGCTTTATTGTTAAGTTATGTTCGCTGTGATATGAATATACAATTAGTACACATGACTGTATTTATAGTCTTATACCCTTCAGCGAAGATTATTGATAGGGTGTCAGCTAAAATAAGGTCCAAATAATAGTTATATCTCGCTCGATAAGATCATTTTATCTGTGTAAATAGCTTCCCGCAGAAAACATCAGTTGAGCTGTACTCTATGGCTGACGATTTCGAAAGGTTCTGATTGACGCCTCTTGCGAACAGAAGTCTGTCTCTCTCTCGAATATATATTTACATATATATCTCGGATCTTGCCACTTCTCTATCTGTGGCGTAAATATGAATTTTGGTTTGTTTTTTTATAACCCCCCCCCCCAGTATTTCATCAAAAGAAAAGTTATGGCGCAGCGCGGGGCTGGCCGCTGACTCTCGCAGTCTCGCTGAGCCTCTGAGGGCGGCCAATATTTATTTGGAGCAGAAAAGTATTTGTTCCAAAAATAATAAATTGATAATCGGGCGTCAAGCAAACGATTTGGAAAATTGAATTTTGAACGACTGTTTCAGATGAAATATTTAGCACTGGTAAATAGTGCGGATTCCAGTATGTTAGCGCGCGGTGGCTTGCTCTAGCATCACTGAATCAAAAGGCTTATCAAGTCTCATATCACACATTTTGGTTGTGGAATACACTTTACGACATCATGCAAATTCGCGTTAAGGTATGATTCAGACATTTGCAGTGCCTTCTCTGTTGCGTCTGGTGCGTTGCCGAGGGCAGTGGCAATATACGTTCCATTTCAGGTGCTTGTTATTTTTGTAAATATATTAGTTGTAGAGGCTTGCTTGACATACGCAACTGGGCATAAAATATGACATCTTTGCAACTGACAGTTTGTTGAATGTAGTGGTTTTAGTACATGTCGCTTAAAGTACCTTCATTGTGCTCTTTTAGATATGAATTTGGATAATGGGTTATTTTATAGCTTCGCTGTTCGTGTGTAAATTAATTTGGCTTTATATATAGTTATTGAAGTGAATACATTTTAGAATAAAGGTGTTTGGTGAAGTTCTTGCATAGAGCTACCTTTTATTTTCCGGGATCAATAGAGGAGTATCAAATTAATACTTTAATTCCTACAATTCATATCAATTTTCAACCTGTACACTGGAATACACACACAGAGCCTCATGTGCTCACTTTTTTCAATTCTATATCATACATAGAGCATTTGTTACTGTCTGTAATCATCATGTATGTATTTACGCACACAAACACACACAATA